ACGTGTGTGGGTAACACTTCACAGGTCACATCTGTGAAAGGCAGAGGTGGCAAAATCTAGGGAGTACAATCCAAGAGTTTGATGCTAAAATGCCCAGGTGTTCCTTGAGAAGGAACCAATGCTAGAATTTATCAGTTGTAATATAGGACTGATTAATTTAACATCATCTCCGATATTACTTTATGAAATGATTCTCAGGCTATGGTCCAAAAGATGATTGGAATTTTTCATGACCTGGGCAGAAACTAATCTTTTTTTTTTTTTTTTTTTTTACTTTGTGGAGAAAAAAATGATCCACCAGACAGAATTTTGCTCATTTATTTTCCATCTTTTATTTTTTTTCTCTAGCTGCCCGAGAGGGCTAATAGGTAACTCAGTGGATAAACAGAATCAAGTGATAGTGATGAAAATAGCCATGGAAGACCTTATTTAGTTTGATAAACATATCTTAGGAGTGAAAGTGTATTTATAGTCTCCCCACAGTAATTGAGTTGTGATTTGGGTAGAATTTTATAAGGTACATAGCACTGTGCATTGCTGTAGCACCTTGGGCTTCCACAGCCTCTGGGTGACTTCGAGAGGCTGGGACAGCATTGGTCATGCTGGGAGATTGAACCACATATCATTTGTTTGGCAGTTTTATTTATATAACCAAGGGCAGGACTGGATATGGCCTCAGGTGCGACTGTTTCCAGTCACTCTGGTGATACCGTGGGGCTTTCTTTTCCTTCATTATGTTGGTACTCCGCTGGTGGGTTTATTGTTTGGGGGTATATGAAGCTGTTGGCATTGGTAATTCATGCCATGTCTTAGGTGAGGGTTTCAGACTCTCTGGGATGGCTTTCTATGCAGTCCTGAGAATGTTTCTGATTGGTTCTGCCTGGCTCATCTGCCCAACTGTGAACCAATCACTGTGTTCACAGTAAGGGACTTTGACTGGACAGACTGGATCTACACTGGGTGTGTAGACTGAAGGGTGAAGGAAGTTCCTGAAGAAGAGGAAATGTCTTCCTGAGAGGAGAGGACATAGACAGCCACTCAGGGTCAGAAAGGGCACTGATGGAGAGACCAGGAATCTACCCTGCAAGGCTGACTTGACTTATTCAGTTCTTCAACTGGGGCTTGGTATGAGGAAACACTCCAATGAATGAATGCATGCATGCTTGAATGAATGATGTATTCAAATGGACCATGGGAATCCAGAATTTGGTAGCAAATATCATTAATATATTGGGAATGGTGTAGTGAGTTTAAAGATGCCCTCTTTAGCACATTCCTCTTAGAGAAGGCCATCTGTTCTCCCCATCCCGTCTGACTTGGGGACAGGACCTGTTTTGACATATGCTAGTCTCTCTGACACCGATGCAACAAACCCGAGGGCAGCTGGGGGACAAGGAGCCTATGGAAGACGCTGAAGCTCCTCAGCCCACCTCAGGTGTGGCCCCAGACCTCTGTGAACCCCCAATATTGTCAAGCAAGCCTGGGGCAGACAGGCAGGGGTCACAGCCTCTCATCTACAGGCTCACAAACTAAATAAATCTTAAACGACTTAAATTCACAGTGTAGACAAGGGTGACCTTGAATTCTCTTACTTTTACCTGCCTGGGGCTGGGATGCGAAGCGCCCAGTTTTTGTGATGCTGAGGACCTAAACCCACACCAGGCAAGCATTCTGCCAACTGGGCTGTCCAACTCATTGAGTTTTTTTTTTTTGTGGGGGGAGGGGGAGCGGGAGCGGGAGGGGGTTATGATAGAAAAGCACACAGGTTGTTATCAGAAAGGAAAGACTGCCAGAGTCCAATCCCCCGGTGACAATTTGTTCCTTGTTATTGGTCTCATTTTCATAGCCAGGAGGTTTAAACTCTCCAAGTTCATGCCTGGGTTTTCCTTTCCCCTGGCCTGCAAATATATGCTCAACATTTGCATTTTGATCAGCCTGTCTGCATTTCCCCGCCAGATCTTCACAGAGGAGGAACCGGGGAGCCTCATAATAACCTCATGACTTTACTGTCGCGTATATATCTCAGTTAACGCCGACACGATTGTTCTTGCTGACGTAACCTGAGCTAAAAATTTTCCCAGCCGAGGATTGATCATTCCTGTAATGGAGAGCTGAAGGAAATACGGGTCCCCTGCTGCCTTTCAGAAGTCAAAGCAGACAGGAGACAGGATTGAGGTAAATAAAAAACAAAATAAACAAAAAACCCCAAACTAGAACATGTTCTGTTTTAGGAGACACCATCTTAATTTTTGTTTTCCTTTAAAAAGAGAAACTATTATTGCTTTGGAGTTTCTTTTATAATAAATATCAATAAAATTGTTTGGGAGTTAAAAAAATACATGTTTCTTGGATATGACTTTCAGGTGAAGTTTCATGAAATTGCTCTGTAGTCTGTGTGCATTTTTACAATAGTCAAGTATAAATTATGTCACACTGCATTATAAATTGTTATTAAAATGATCTGTAGTGTAACTAGCAGGGAACTTAAACATAACTGTAAAAAGGGAAATAAAAATCTATTAATGCAATAAACCTACTTAATAAAAGTTACTTTCGTATTCAAAAACAAAATATTAAGGCGTGCTTCAGATCTGAAAGTCAAAAATGAAGGAATAAATTAGCAGAGGTTAAGAGCCTTGCCGCAGCTGGCTAACAAAACTCCCGGGGATTATAAAATTTCATGCTCTCGTAATAAAAAGGATAAAGGATCGGCTAGAAGACCACTAAAAGTTCAAATAAATGAACATAAGAGAGAAGAGGAAGTCTGACATGATGGAGCCCGCTAATGTGTAAAGACCGGAGAGACAGTATTAACGTGTTGGAGTCCGGAATTAAATGCAAAATGAATTCGGGGAGGAGATTAATAGAAAATTATAAAGGTAAATGAGTTCGCTTTCAGGGTTTCAGAAAACTTCAGCTATCTCATTATTTTTCTTAGCACTTAAGGAGAAGCAGAGAAAGACAAATTAAAACCGGGCATAAGCCATATTGGAGTAAGTGGGAGAGCCGATTACTTGCTAACCCCAAACCCGCCCCTCCCCATATTCCCTATTCTTGACCTTCAGTTGTTAAGTACCACATGACAGCCCCCAATAAAGTAAATCCTCCCATGATCCTTTGCAGCAAAATGGGACCATGAATCTAAGTTTTTGTTCCATTATGTGGGAAATGTATCTAAAAGGAGGCGGTGGGTGTTTCTTCTTCTCTCCTCCATCCTTCCTCAGAGCTCGAATATGTTTTTGACAGCAGATATTCCAGCAACAGTTTTGGATCAGGAGGTGGTCCGAGGAATAACAAAGGATGGAGGAATGACAGGACGAAAGGAACCTGGAACTTGGCGCTGTAACCCAGTGTTTCTTAGTGCCAGCCTTAAGAAACCTCAGAGTCAAAGCAGATGTTACCGGAGTGACTTCTGTGTCTAGGACGGCGGTGGCACTCACCAGCTTTAGTGTTAGAGGCGAGGTTGTGGTGGGGGTGCTGAGGGTGTGACCCAGAGACACGTCATTGCAAGACGAGGCTCATTCCAAGTGCAATTCAGCACACAAGGTCTGCAGAGGGAGAGGAGACAGCCCAGTTGGTGAAGGATTTGCCTTGCGAGTGTAACTGATGGAACCCAGGTGAAGAACCAGGCATGGTGGCTCATGCTTGTAATCCTCGCACGGGGGTGGGGGGACCCCTGGGGTTCGCTGGCCAGCCTGCCTAGCCTACTTGGGGAGCTCCGAGCCCATGAGAGACCACAGATCACAGGCGTGCAATACCACACTGTTTTATTTGATGCTGGGATCCAGGACTTGGCACATGAAATGCAGGACTCTACCCTTGAACTCTGGGCGACCTCTCACCCCACTGCTATTGATTTCCTCTTCCTGTCTGTGCGCCACAGCAGTAGGGAGGGCACTTGGCACTTGTTTGCTCTTCAGGAAATGCCCCCACCCTGACCATAGAAAGTGCCCTTTGCCCTCAGTCCAGACTGAGTTTCCTTCATTCTGAACAACCTGATATCTGATACAGGGAAGTGCTTCCAAAATGAGCAGTGGGGTGCTCTCAAATAATGACACAGTGACTTAGTATTAATTATGAAAGCTCGGCCTTAGCTTAGGCTTGTTCCTAACTAGTTCTTATAACTTAACTTGTATCTTTTAATCTATGTTCTTTTACATGGCTTGGTTATCTTTCCTCTGACTTCCCATCCTGCTTCCTCTGCATCTGGCTGGTGACTCCACCTTTATCCTTCCCAGCGTTCTCTCTCTGCCTGGAAGTCCCGCCTACCTCTCCTGCTTATCTATTGGCCGTTCAGGTTCTTATTACACCAATCACAGCAATCCATCTTCACAGTGTACAAATATCCCACAACACAGTAGTAGTAGTTCCCCCAGAACCCCTCGGAGGAGAGAATCTTCTAGACTTTCCTTTCTTATGTTCTCCAGTAAGTCCGCCCAGCATGCATGCCCCCCACCCCAGAACTGCCACTCTTCCTGTGGGTTCCCAGGTGCACCCGTGTTTGATAACCCCTCCCTTTGCACACACCAGGCAGCTTTCTAGTTCCTCCCTTCTATCCTCCTACAGTGTTTATTCTCTGCACTGTCAGTTGCGTCCCGGGCACCAGGAATACAGCAGTGAATAAAAGCCACAGAAACAGCTTTATTCCTGGCTCTGTCAGCTTCCTGGTTCCTAACACCCTTGTGGAACCGTTGGTCGCTAAGGCTAAATGGTGTGCTAGGCTGATCAGGGTTGTTCGACTGGACTCAGATTTTATGTGAAATTAACAGTGACCAGAGGCAACAGAGTGGACAGGAGCAACAGAGGCGCTGAAGATGAAGGTCAATAGGAGACAGGAAAAGATGGTTTTTGATTGGAGACTAGACTTTCTCAATAAACACGAATGATGATGACTTGGTTATGTCTCAGTTCCAGAAGAAAAATTGTTTGGTAAACACAGCCAGGGAAGAAACAGTATTTTAAATTAGTAAGAAATGACCAGGCTGGGTGGAAGGCAGAAGTTCATGAAAGACACATCCTTTACTCGTACCAGGCTCCAGCTCCTTCAGGCTTCCAACACGGACTGAAAGCCAGGAACTTTCCAGGCATCCTCCAGGTCTGCAGAGCAAGGTTGAAACTGCTCAGGTGTCCAGTCTTGTGATCTGAACATCCACTGGGGTTCCAGCTGCTGTAGTATGAAGACAGCCGTCACCATGCCATCATGAACAACCTAGATTGTGTCATGGTTGCCCATCTAGCAATCTGTCTCTCACACATTGTCATTCTGCTGGTTCCTGCATCCCAGTGCCTCAGGCCTATCCGGGGAGCAGCTCTGGTGAATGGCAGTGTGCGCACTTGGCCCTGAGGATGCCACGCCCACCTTCACGGCCAGCTGAAAGCAGAAACCCCATCACGCAATTCTTTCTCTTCCTTTATTTGATTTTTTTTCCTTCTCTATTTTTGCTGTACTGGAGATTTAGGCAAGTGCTCAGCCCCTGAGCCACATCCCAGCCTCCCATCATGCATTTCTCTAGTCACTGTGTCTGGCCATGAACTTGGCATGTTACAGTCCCTTTAGTAACCATCAGTTGGGTTGAACCAATCTTCACTCCATGTACCTCCCCAAACCTCTCACGATTTATTGGTAAAAAAATTCACCCTTAATTAGTGAAAAAAAAAAAAACTGCCTGTGCATTGATAAATTATTCACCTTCTAAAGCCCTCTGAGCTCTTCAATCCACTGTAAATAATTTACATTCCGACTCGTGCAGTTTCCAATTTGTTTATTAATGTTATCCTGTAGAGAGAAAACAAACTAAGTGAATCCACACTAACTCACTTTGCAGATCATTTGGAAGAAGATAAAAGATGCTCCTCTTCTCGTATGAAGACGTTGAGGTCCAGTTTTCCCTGTTGGTAAGCAGAGACTGCCCCTGAATAGAGCTGTGGTGTTCTCTCGTCACCATTTACGGAAACCCGCTATACACACTGTAAGGAGTAATAACTGAAGCTCTAGGGCTTGGCGTATCCTCTCGACACCTGTTTGAATGAGATGCCCTCACTTACGTTTTTGGACACCGGAATACTTGGTACCCAGTTGATGGCACTGTTTGGGGAGGTTTAGGAGGTATGGCCTTGCTGGAGGAAGTGTGTCACCAGGGGTGGGGTGTGGGGTGGGGTGGGCTTTGAGATTTCAAAAGCTGTACACTGTTTCCAGCACATTCTTTTTGCAAAGAGCACAGGGAGCAGGGAGCAGGTAGGGCCTGGGGTGTTGAGGAAGCCTCTACCCAGTTCCCAGGCAGCTCTGGTCACAGCCATATCCCAGACTTGGATAAATCCTGCACTCATGACATTAAAATCGGGGTCTAGGGCTGGTGAGAGTCGGGGGGTAAAGTCACTTGCATGCATGATGACCTGAGTTGGATCCCCAGAGTCCGCATCAAAAGCCAGATGTGGTGGCACATATCTGCAATACCAAGACTCCCGAGTGTGATGGGAGGTGTGGACGGGAGGGTCTCCCAGAAGCTTGCAGGCCAGACAGTGTGGAGTACACTGCCTGATAAAAACAGCCAGAGAGACCCTGCCTCAAACACACGAAGAAAAGGGTTGCCAGTGGATGCTAACATCAGTAGGCACAATTCAGTGAGAATCAGGTTGTCTATGTAGCCTCAGTCCAAAAGGGGACACCAGGAGATGCCAACTATATAGAGAGGAGGCAAGTGGATCTGTTCAGAAGCTGCTGATGTTGCTGCCTTCACCACAGCCCAGTCAGCAGTCTATACCTTGTCCTGATTCCGTGTACAGCGAAGCCACAGGCTAATACCGCTCACTCTGCTCTAAATGCAGCCCTTCCGACCAATCACTGAAACCTCTGGCAGACCCGGACTAAGAGATGTTTTATAAAACAACTGGGTGGTCCTCCCCAAACATATCACGGTCACAATAGACAAAGATGGACCAGGGACCAGAAAGGCAGAAGCTAAGGGGACCTGACCATGGCAAGGGTGATAGACCAAACCTTGGACCCGGAAGTGGATGCTGATGGCTGCTTGTTAATGCTTGAGAAAGATTTGTCCATTATTTAACCATTATTATGTTGATTTTGATGCCTGCCTTTACACCTGCTTATTTTCATTTGATGTGTAGGTGTGTTTGCCTGCATGTATGTCTGTGCACCATGTGTGTGCAGTGCCCTTAGAGGCCAGAAGAGGGCATCAGATCCATTAGATCGGGAGTTACAGACAGGTGTGAGCTGCCGTGTGGGTGCTGGGAACTGAACCTGGGTCCTCTGGAAGAGCAGCCAGTGCTCTTAACAGCTGAGCTGTCTCTCCATCCCCTAATTCCTGCTTTTCCTCAGTGGACAGTGAGTCTGAGGATGTGGCTTAGTGGGGAGAGGAGTTTGCTAGAATGCTCCAGCCCTGGCCACTGTGTGACTAGGTGTCTTCACTCACACCTGTAATCTCATCAGGGAGGCGGAGGCAGGAGGGCCAGAAGTTCAAGGGCATAGTCAGTTATGGATTCCAGGTCAGCCTAGGAGTCCGGAGACTCCGACTCACAAAAGCAGCCGCAGCCACACTAAATAGTAACTGAGTTGCGAGTCTTGGTTTTGTGGAGTAACATTTTGGGGAAAACGGAGGAGGTTCATGACTTTTGAAACTTTTCTCCTGTCAGTTTGAAATTATCTCATCGTGAAAAATTAAGGAAAACAGATCCTAAAACTCCACTTAACCCCCTAGTTCAAAGGTCTTCACAGAGGGGTTGCCCTTCCCCTGGGAGCTGAAATTTGGTAACGCCGGGGGACAGTTTTGCCTGTCTCAGCTAGGGGCTAGGTGTGACCGGCTCCTGGAGGGACACCATAAGCCTCCCACAGTGCGTAGGGCGCATCCACAATGAAATGCGCGTGGCCCCAATCTCACCCCTGGTTTGACTGGGAGTCTGTTCTAGGGTAGCTCAGTTTAAAATCCGTGGAATCACGGAATGTCAGGAGGAGCTGGGAGTTATGCAGATGCACCGCACAGCCTGCACGTGAGTGTCTAAACTGCACCAGAACGTGAGTTTTGGCTTCCTGTCTGTGAGTTCACGGGCAGCACCGACTCAGGGTTAGGGGCGCCTGGTGGGGAGTTTTGTGAAGGCACACGGGCAGTAGAGAGGCCGTCATTAGCAAACGTTTCCTTTCTCTGCGCTGGTCTAAGGCAGGCACACTCACCTGACCATTTCTAATGAGATAGAGGATATTGCCGTGTGCAGGGACTTTTCTGTCAAACCCTGCCTGGTGGGCTTGGGGAAGAACCAATCCTTCATTAATTAACCTTCACTTTCTATGTAGATTCACTCATTGAGATGCAGGTAATTAAACCAAGGTCATTTCAAGGATGGACAGGAAAAAAACAGCCACTGGAAAGAGGAAGAATTTTTGGGTAGAGGGTTTGGGATTCTATTTTTATCGCTGGGCAGAATTGTGGAATCATCTTTTCCTCGCTTGTAACTTTTTTTTTTTAAAGTGAGAGAGTGTTACGTTCACCTCAGAACCAAATCTCAGGAAATTTTTAAAGATTTATTAGGCTAGTTATATCATATGGGCTTCAGAAATAAATGTTGAGAGAATAAGTTAATCTAAGGGATATTCACGATGCAAAGGAAAGAATACAGAATTATGCCGGGGACAGAAAAGCATTTTGGGGGGCCAAGAGGATGGGTTTTATTTCTATTTATTTATTTATTTTTAAATTTTATTGCTTATTTGTGTGTGTGTGTGTGTGTGTGTGTGTGTGTGTGTGTGTGTCCTGGTGCATGTGTGTGTATGTGTCCTGGTGCAAGCTTTTAGAGGTCTGGTGGCAATTTTCATGAGCCCAGTCTCTCCTTCCACAGTGGAACCTGGGGATCAAACGTGGGTCACCAGGCTTCGGTGACAACTGTTTTTATTTTCCGAGTCCTCTCGCTGGTGCAAGGAGCTATTTTAAATGACTATGGTCTCCTAGTGGGAGTTCTGTGTCTCTTGGTTTTTGTTGTTTTGTTTGGGGTGAGACAGTGTAGAACACGGATTTGGAGGCATGCCCAAGTGAAGTATGTAGAAGTTTACAGTGTGTCATAAACACAGCTAGGAACACGAGCTGACTCACTGTCTTGGCCTTAATCTCATCTGTTAAATGGGTCCAATGCCGGTCCCTCCTTCCAGGGTTATCGATAGGAAACTACCAGGGAGGAATGCATCCTCAGGGTGTTTACAGGGAGGCAGCCGCCCCTCAGGTAAAACCCACAACGAGCCAGGCATTGCTGCAGGGCTTTCTTTATTGCCGTCACCTTTCTGAGCCAGGGAGTGTGGTTGCTGTTCTTGTGTCTGAGACACAGAGACGACAAGTGAGTTTCATCAGTCACACAGCCATTAGGAAGGGAGTCGGGAGTTGAACCCACTAGTCTGCGCAATCCCAGAGAATTGTGGGCTCTTAGTTCACCTCGTATGGCAATTTCAGTACCTGATTAAAGCCAACACACCTGGGATGCTTTCCTGGTAAAACAAGCGGGTCTTGGGTTGTGGAAGTGATGGCCCTTTGAAGCTCACCAGTGGTGTGTTGTCAAGTGTACTAGCCACTGAGAAGTGCCACCTAGTGGGCAGACGAGGGATGACAAGATAGCCTCCTCTGCTCTTGAGACAAGGTGGATTCTGTCTCGTCTTGGTCTCTAGAATTTTCGTTATAAAGCAAAAGTGTGTGCCGTGTCATAGTATCAGAACCACTTCCAAGTTCTGACAGGAATGTATTGAGAACTGAAGTGCTACATTAAAGTTACAGTATTACAATGGAAGCCAGATTCATCAGGCCTGTTAGTGTCCCTTAGAGGAGAAGTATGAATCTCTCGGCTCATCCTGCTGAGCACTTTGCTTCAGTCATAACGACGAAATGCTTAATTTGTTAAACATATACAGAATCAGAAGTGGAGTCATTCGGTATCTCTAATATCGCTAGCAGTTATTAAAGTCAGTTTTTATCTGTTTAAACAGGTCATTAAAAAAAAAGTGGCGTCGGAGGAAAAGGGCTGTGTCCTTTCCCCTGCAATGTTTAACACACGCTCCAATTTCTGAGTGGAAATTGTGGCAATGGAAGTCAGAAGCACGAACAGCTTAGCAGGCAGAAGTCAAGTCCTGGCCTGGCTTCCGGTGTTTGTATCGTTGCTAAGGCCGAGCAACACACAAGTCACAAGAAAAAAAAAAAAAAATCTCTTCCAGTTGACACACCAACTATTTAAGTCACAGGTCTTGATGCCCGACTCCTCTAGGTGTTTCTGAAGATTCTGGACTTTCCCCTGACCTCTCCCAACCATGTGAGTGCTGAGGACATGTGTCTCATTCACTGAAATTTTGTTTCTCTGACTTGTCTTTTTTTTCTTTTTCTTTTTCCATGTAACATCCGTTCCACCAGAAGATAGAACCTGCTGTCGGAGAAGCCAGGGAACTTGTACAGTGCCTCTGACTCTTAGGGACCAAATGTGAATTCTTCACCTTAGAGAAAGAACACTATCTTAATCTTTTAAAAATCGGTTGTTTGTTTTTATTTTCTATGTGTTATGAGTGTTTGCCTGAATGTATGTATATGCACCACATGGGTTCAGTGCCTACAGAGGCCAGAAGGGTGTCAGAGCCCCCAGAACTGGAGTCACAGAGAATTGTGAGCTTCCAGGTGTGTGCTGAGAATTGCATCTCAGTCCTCCACGGGAGCAACAGGTGCTCTTAACTGCTGAGCTGTCTCTCCAGCCCTGCTCTGTCATTCTTTTAAAAATTGATTTGGCTAACCTAAAAATGACCAAGAGTGCTATGGCATGATTTTTTCAAATAAGTTGAACGGTGCAGACCTGTATAGGCTCATTAATTAATTAATTATTAAATTAATTAATTTAAAGATTTATTTATTTATAATGTATACAGTGTTCTGCCTGCATGCATGCCAGCACTCCAGAACAGGGCACCAGATCTCATTACAGATGGTTGTGAGCCACCATGTGGGTGCTGGGAACTGAACTCAGGACCTCTGGAAGAGCAGTCAGTGCTCTTAACCTCTGAGTCACCTCTCCAGCCCCATAAGCTTTTTATTTCTCATTCATGTTCATCACTTTTCACTTCTGTGATAAGTATCTAGTAGACATTGGCCAGGTGTGGTAGCACATGCTTTTAACCCCAGTACTCAGGAAGCAGAGGCAGGTGAACCTCTGTGAGTTCAAGGCCAGCCTGGTCTACACAGTGAGTTCTGGGCCAGCCAGGGCTATGAAGTGAGACTTTCTCTAACAAAACCAAACCAAACCAGGAAAATGTATTGGGGCTGGTGATTTCAGACCCTCCAGTGAGAGTCAGCGACCCATTGCTTGGTTAGGTGAACGGCTGGCAGAAACCCCTTCCTACAGACTGTCTTTCCGTTACTGTTTCTTTGCTTTGAAGAAGTTTTATTTTTTTCCCTGCTTTGACACAGGGTCTTATTATGGAACACATGATGGCCTTGAATTTACAAATCCTCCTGCCTCAGCCTCCAGAGTGTTCGTTTACAGGTGCGTCTTAGCACATTTGTCTACTACAGTAGTTTTTGAATCAATGACATCCCATCTGTCAATGAAAACATTTGAATTGTGTGTGTGTGTTTGTGTGTGTGTATGTGTGTGTGTGTATGTGTGTGTGTATGTGTGTGTGTGTATGTGTGTGTGTATATGTGTATGTATGTGTGTGTGTGTGTGTGTGTGTGTGTGTGTGTGGATCACACCCAGACCATCAGGCTTGGTGGCAAGCTCCTGTATCCACAGAGCCATCTCTTCTATTTAGAAAGACAATGCTTAGATCTTGAAGTGTCTCCGCCATGTTTCCCTCCTGTGGTTTCAAAGCTCCTGCCTCTGTTTCCAGCTGATTTTTGCACATGATGAGAGATAATCCAGTTTTTATTTTCACACGGGACTGTCCAGTTTTTCCAGTGCCATTTACTAAAGAGGTTCGCTTTCTTCTTTGAATGTCTATGTTTGGTACCTTTGTTGAGACTCAGATAGCATCGGCCGTGGGTTTATTTCTGGGTCCTCTCTCCGACTGCAGGGCTCTCTCTTCACGTTTTAGCCATTTCACTCTCTCTTTAGCTCCTTGCTTTGAGGGCACCTGGCTGTCCTGTTACAAGATGACTCTGTGCAGACCTCTGAAGGTTGGGGGACAGGTGAGGCACAAGCATGGGGGAGGTGCCCTCCCTCCCTCAAGCCTTCAGATGAGACTCAGGGCCAAGCGAGTCCTTACGGTAACTGAATTCAAGACATCCAGATATGGAGATACTCAGTGGGATTTTTGAGCCCTGTCCAGGTCTTGTTCCTCAAAAGCCGTGAAATAATATACCATTGCTGTTTCAAGCTCTTGAATTTGGGGCAGATTACAGTAATTAGTAATTACAATAATTAGTAAATGTTGTAACATCACTTTTCAAAGTGCAAAGGATTCTGGGGCTGGAAGGTGGCTCCATGGGTAAAGTACTCGCTGCCTAAGTGCTAGGGCCTGGATTTGGAACCCAAGTATTCAGGTAAGAAAGCCAAGCATGGCATGGCTTGTCTGTAACCCCAACCCCAGGTGGGGCAGACAT